GAGGAATATTGGAACATTCTTCCTTCTACTGAGCTTCAGCCGGTGGACACCACCCTGACCTGAACTGTGGGATACCTTGATAAACGTGTGAACGTATAAACATATCAACCATATAAAGCCCATATCAGTAGTTTGAGAACTTCTGAACATCAGCACCTCCTCTTTTACTGTTTCAGGCAAAAGCTTGGTTGATTCTTCTGTGGAGCTGAAAAAGTTTTCTAAGTCTTTACTCATGGATGTTCTTTCAGTGCTTAGATCAGCACTGGTAGATCATCTAATTCATCCTAAAGGTGTTGGAAGGGGTTGAGGTCAAGGCTTTGAGAAGGTCAGACAGCTCCTTCCACACCACATTCAGCAAATCATTTCTTTATGGGCTGTAGGTTCTGAATGGGTCATTGTGATGCTGAAACAGGAAGAGTTGGAACCACATCATTAAAAACAATATGTTTTTATATTGAACAGTTGCTGCATTTGTTTATGTCAGTGTTCATATAAAACAAGTATATCCAGATTTATACTGAGTTGCTATTTAAAAAACTTATTAGTAATATTATTTTCTTTTTTTATTCCTATTATTTGTATAGTGGATGATATCAATAATAGTTTTGGTGAGTTAATTGTAAGTCAGTTATCAGACATGAGTTTGATCATACAGATGCACCAAAGATGAAACTGATAAATATCAAAACACTATATGAAATTTGCATGAGTTCATTTTGTGATCAGATTTGACCAAACACAGCTTTGATGAATAAAGACTGAGTTTATTTAATGTTTATTTTATGACTGAGTTCATTTAATGGAGTTTATTTAATATGATGTTGGTGATGCGCCTGACAAAGCACCATTTCACCACAAAGGGGAGGTTCTTTACTGTACATTATTTTCTGTTTATAATAATAAAGTGAGAAGTTACATTTTTACATAAACACATCATCACCCACTTCATGTCTCACAAACAAATGCAAATCTCCCACACAAAATATCATCCATTTTACGTTTCTGTCATTTGTTTTTTCTTTCTTCTTTGGTGTGTTTGTTTATAAGAGAGAGGCATACAGGATAAATTCAATTATGTTTTTTTTCTTCTTAATTCCTTGTATGAGATGTTGGTGTTTGTATAGATTGTATACGTAGTTCTGTGTAGAACCGTAAATGTGAGGAAGTTTTCTCCATCTCTCTACAGATTATTTGACTGCAGGATTACAGAGGAAGGCTGTAAAGCTCTGGTTAAAGCTTTGAAATCAAATCCTTCACACTTGAGAGAGCTGAATCTGGGTTGGAATGAACCAGGAAAGTCAGGAGTGAAGATGCTTTCTGCTCTACTAGAAGATCCACACTGTAAACTGGAGAAACTAAAGTAAGTTACTGACCTGCTTTTACTTTACACACACACACACACACACACACAGATGCACACATACACGTCTGTGTGTGTTTGTGCATCTGACAAAAGTCACTCAACTAAAAGATCAGGACTGATTGGTCAGATTGTATAATGTACAGTAACAGTGGTAATGTCCACTGAACTTTCTGAATCTGTTCGGTCTTGTGATATTAGAGCAATAAGCCACAAGACCTCCTGCTTTACTGTTGTACGTGACACAAAGCAGAGTGGAATCCCTGTAAAAGCCTTGAGGGTCTTACAGCTTTTACACAATGGAGACACTTTGGCTCCTTTATTCGTAACATATTTGTGTGCAGACAAATGTGTATATAGAGTGTTTTATAATGACTTCAAACGTTCCTCAGCCTCGTTTTAAAACTGAAACTATCCACTCTGTAATGACCGATTCAGAGCTTAAGAAGAGATGATCAAACACATCCAGGTGTCAAAACAGCATCAGAAACTTGTCTTTTACATGAACTGAAGAAGTTCTGCAGAGAGGAGACGACAGTTTGTTCTGTCTTTGGTTCGTTTAGACATCTTTGATCTGTATTTCTGTATTTCTGAGTTCATTTAAAAGGGAACAGAGACCAACCTGCTCAGGGGGTCTCGGTCCAATCATTCACACTCGGTCACAAACAAGTGCAAAGGAGTAATTGTACCAGGGAATCATTTTAGTCACACCAAACCTGCCGAGTCTGAACACACCCTACGAGTGTGAGTGTGTGTGGAGCTGGGATTGGCAGTTTTCTCTCTGAATCCACATCTTTAAAATAAAGAGTATTTAAATATTCCAAACTGCAAATACTCTATATTGGTATGGAAATATGGAAGGTTTAGCATTTGTTGATTACATGCAGCTCACATTAAAGCAGATCCACACCTGATTACAACAGAACCCTGACCTTAAGAGTCATGACCTTTTATTCTCAATATGTTTAATAAATATTTATCTAAAATTTAATCTTTTAAGTGGTTTGGGACGCTCCTATTTTTACCTATTTTTCATTTAATTTCTCCCTCCTTATGTAAGTACATTATCTTCTATCTAATCTCCTCATAAAATTCTCCTCATAATGGCTGTTTTGACTGGGTATTATGTAAATAAGGTGGTTTCTGACTTTTGCACAGTACTGTCTGTGTGGGCTGGTGGTGTTTGATATATTGAAGAGTAACATAATGTCAGTGACTCCTTTGGGGACCTTTTGTTGGGAGCAGCTGTAACTGGTTGATCTGAAGATTGGAAGGACTGAAGAGTTAAAGTGTCAGTGATGTGCTCAGATGTGAAGATGGACAGATTAAACAGATTTAATATCAGCCCAGTAATTCTGACTGATATACTGCCAGCACCGTTCTGACTGCATGTTTGTTGTGAGGAGATCTTCCTTCACTTACTAGAGGAAGTAGCAACATTCTGTAATATGAACTTGTTAAAAATCCTGTCTTGAACATGTCAGATCTTAATTTAGGGTTTAAGGAAGTTTCAGTAATATGGATCCAGGTTCATAGTCCATCCAGACCTTCACCCAGTGGAAGTTAATCTGGAATAATCTGGAGCTCAGCCTTTGTTCACCAGCCTCCTCCTGCACCAGGAGGAGAAACAGAGAAAGAGAGTTTTGTGTTTTTAGTGTTTGTTTAGTGTTGCTGGGAGAGAGAGAGAGAGAGAGAGAGAGAGAGAGAGAGAGAGAGAGAGAGAGAGACAGAGAGAGAGAGAGAGAGAGAGAAAGAGAGAAACAGTGAGAGAGAGAGAGAGAGAGAGAGAAAGAGAGAGAGAGAGAGAGAGGGAGAGAGAGAGACTTTTGACTTTAAAACCCCTTTAATCAACCATTGTCCACAGCGTAAGAGCATCACAACCAACTCAAAATAAAATCACAAATAGAACAAAGAAGAAAAAAAAGCAAATAAAACAAAAACCAGTTCAGCGGAGCTGCAGAGATCAGTTCACACATTCAACACAAACCCACTGAGTTCATCAGGTTCACAAAGCAACCCCCCTCCCCCCCCATTCAGCAAAAAAATAGTCCACATTGTCAATAAGAGTGTAGTAGGTAAAATCAACAAGGAGTCTTTTCAAGATCAATCCTCTGACCATCAGTACTGGGTCAGTACCCCCACGGTTCTCTATTCTATTCCTCCTAGTACACCAGATCGCTAACTTAGCAACACCATACAAAAAATTCAAAAGAACTACCATGTTTCTTTTTGAAACGGTGTACTTTGGACCATAAATAAATAAAACATTGTCAAAAAAGCCTAAAAACTTCAAACCCCATTCCTTAATTAAACCCATAATGGGGCCCAAGCGTGTACAGTGAAGAAAGACATGAAAAACTGTTTCTGATGTCCCACAGAAAGGACACCCATCTCCCACTAATGGATCAATCCGTGCCGCGTGCCTGTTTGTAGCTAAAATCCCGTGTACAATCCTCCATTGGAGGTCACCCACCCTCTTCTCGATGGGTCTTTTGTACAGGGACCGCCAGCTACCTTTCGGGGAAGAGCCAGCCTGAACAACCTCTGTCCATTTAGACTCTCGCATGTCTCTCAAGCTGTGAAAGTGCAGTACTTTAGTACATGCAATGTACAAAGCCCTCTTGGTGAGAGAGCTAAAGAGACCAAGAGTCAGGGTTCCCAAAGACAAGAGCGTCCCCTGACCCTCCTGCCAGTTTTGCATCTCCGAATCTCTCAAATCTATCTCCAGTTCAGGAAACACAGGCTCTTCACTCTGGCACTGGTCTACAGGGGTCATGTCCAGGTAGTCCCGCACAGGAGAAGACAGATCAGACTGTCGCACTGACCTGAAGCCACCCATCTCCGCCAGCTGTGCTGCTGACACCCAGTCCACACCTCTCCGTAAGTGGCGGACTTTGGAGATGCCTCTTTCCAGCAGGGCCACTCTCAGAGCCCCTGAAACCTGGCTCAGCGCTGGAAACACCAGGTTAAAAAACAGAGGCTCTTCAAAAATCCACATAGACGGTGTAGCACCACTGTCCCTAGAAAATGAGAAGAGCTGCCATGCCTCCACAGCAGCTGAGTAAAAAGCAGTCAGTCCACCTAAATCCACTGCTCTCAAAGAAAGAGAGAACAGGTGTCTGTCCAGGCCCAGTCTTCCAGCAGCCCTCAGGAGAGCACAGGCAACATCCATCCAGCTGTGACGGCCATGATACAGCAACCGCTGCACCGCCTGCAGACGCAGAACAGCCACTCTGGACCGAATGTCTATTAGTCCCTGTCCTCCCTCCTGCACAGGAAGATACAGGACTGCAGCTCTCAGCCAGTGCTGTCCATTCCAGAAAAAGCTTAACAGTTCCTTCTGAACATCGTGGATCAATTGTCTTGGTGGATGAAGGACAGTGAGCTTGTGCCACAAAGCAGATGCAATGAGGTTGTTTGCGACCAGGACTCGACCCCTATAGGATAGCCGGGGTAGCATCCAAGACCATTTTGACAACGTGGCACGGACTTTCTCCACTAGCCCTTCCCAGTTCCTAGCCTTTGCTTCATCAGTGCCCAACCATACCCCTAAAAACTTTTGCCCTGTCCTACTCCACTGAACCCCACCTGGAAGTGAAGGTAATGTAAAATTCCTACTACTAGCACCACACCAAAGAGCCTCTGTTTTCTCCCAGTTTAGTTTTGCTGAAGTAGCTAAACTATAAATATTTAAAACATTTTTCAGGGATACAACATCTTGCTCGTGGCGTATTATTACAGTAATGTTATCTGCATATGCAGAGACCTTAATTAGACTATTATCAATCTGTAGACCTGCCAGACTTTTCTGAAATAAACTGAGTAAGGGCTCAACTGCAACTGAGTACAGCTGTCCAGACAATGGGCAGCCCTGCCTAATCCCCCTGCGCACTAGAACAGGGACACTCAAACCCCCTCTCACCTTAATTAGACAAGAGGCGCCTGTGTACAACAACCTGACCCAAGACATAAAAACATTCCCAAACCCGAAAGCCGTCAGAGTGTCGAACAGATAGTTCTGATCTACATGATCAAAAGCCTTCTCTTGATCAAGGGAGACTAAACCAAACTCCAATTCAGACATTTTACCATAATCAAATAAATCTCTGATTAAAAACAGATTATCATAAATAGATCTTTCTGGTACACAGTAGGACTGATCTTCATTCACCAGCATTCCCAGAACTCTTTTTAGTCTATTTGCAATACAGCGTGACAGAATCTTATAATCTGAGCATAGAAGTGACACTGGTCTCCAATTCTTCAGGAGACAGAGGTCTCCCTTCTTTGGTATGAGAGATAAAACGGCACGCTGACAGCTTTTCGGAAGCACACCAGCATTAAAACTAGCCAGCAGAACTTCAAACAAGTCCCTCCCGATGATCCCCCAGAACGCCTTATAAAAGTCAACTGGCAAACCATCCACACCAGGCGCTCGCCCGGAAGTGAGCTGAGAAACAGCCTTGGTGACTTCATCAAAGGTCAATGGACTGTCCATTTCCTGCTTGTGTTGTTCATCCAGCTGAGGCAGATCTTCAAGCAGGGCCTGGGAACACTGCTGATCCAGGGCACTGGCCACAAACAGTTCAGAGTAAAACTGTACAGCCAGCTTCCTCACCTCAACTGGGTCTGTTGTGACTGTACCGTCATCTCTACGAACTGACAGCAATGTCTTATTGTGGGTGGAAGACTTTTCCAAGTTAAAAAGAAAGCCGTGGGAGCGTCCATATCCTTCACAGACAGGAACCTGGATCTAACCAAAGCTCCCTTTGCCTTCTCATACAAAATGTCACTCAGCTCCTGTAACTTCATTGTGAGCTCTGTCCGCAAATCAGAAACATTTTGATTTATCATTTCATTGTGTATCCGTGTAATGTCTTTTTCCAAAGCACCAACTGCATTCCTCAGTTTGGAAGTAGAATAAGCTGTAAAATCTTGACAGAATACCTTAATCTGAGCCTTCCCCACTTCCCACCATTGCATTAGACTCTCAAACTCTTGTTTTTTTCCAACCCATTCCCCCCAAAAAAGTTTAAAATTTTCACAAAAACCTTTATCTTGTAAAAGTACCTTATTGAAATACCACATACAACTTCCAGAAGTGTGAAATGTAAAAGAAAATTCCACGGTACACAAGTGGTGATCCGAGAAAGAAGTGGGCTGAATACTAGACTGACTTACCATATTCCGCGCACCCTTCGAGACATAAAATCTATCCAAGCGTGCTGCATAAACTCCCCCTTCAACAATTTTAACCCAAGAATACTGTTTCACAGAAGGGTATTTTTCCCGCCATACATCTATTAAATCAAAATGGGACACAAGGTTAGCTAGAGTAAGAGCAGATTGAGGGTGTGGCTCTTCTCCATTTCTGTCTTTAACAAAGTCTAAAGTGCAGTTCCAATCCCCTCCCAACACCACAGTGTCTTCTGGGGGGAGTGACTGCAACAACTGGTTCAGTCTAATAAACAGCTCATTTCTATCTGGTCCCCTGTTTGGGGCATACACATTTATAAAAACAAAGACATGGTCATAGACCTTTGCTTTTAGCATTAGTAGGCATCCCGCTACAACCTCCTTAACAGACAGTACATTAACCATAGCTGTTCGTGAGAACAGGATGGCAACACCAGCACTAACATTTGAACCGTGACTCAGGAAAAACTCCCCCTCCCACCATAAACCCCATTCAGAAGCTGTATTATCATCACTGTGAGTTTCTTGTAAGAAACACACATTTAACTTTTTTAAACTACAAAGTTCAGGAAAGAGGGCCTGTTTACGTCTGTCCCTGAACCCATTAACATTTAAGGAGCCTACCCTAAAAACCCCCATATAGACAGGGAAAAGTGAGAGAAAGCAGTAAAGCAGAAAACAGGCTGAGAAAGCAGGAAAAACCTTCTCCCTACGTGCACTGTGCTCATACATTGTCCTGGTCCAAAACGGGTTGCACGCCCATCTTTACACATTTTGCCTTTCTGATTGCGGTTATATGCTTTTTTAAACGGAACCGCTTCTGCTTTGGGAGAATGTCATAACCAACACTCTTCTGCACCTTCAATGCCGAACACACAAATCTATCCAAATCAGGGAAAAAGTCTCTTACATCTACAGACTTACCTTTGGTTTCATCTAAGAAAGAGTTAATCTGATCAACAGAGTATAATATCTCACTGCTGTACTGACTTCCTCCCACATCAGACACCTCAGACATCCTGTCCTCCTCCATACCCTCCTCCTGAGACACAAGTAAACCTGACTGAGCATCACTCACTGGCTCAGATTCCTGCTCTTCAGCACTGCTCCCCCCTACCTTCAATCCAACCTGCACCTGAGCACCATCTTCTCTGCACACCTGATCACCAGCCTCACCAGTTACCAGAGCACCCACTTTGCCCCACACCTGAATACTAGCCTCTCCGCTCACTTGAGCACCATTCTGAAACCCACAATCTGAACTTTCACCTGTTCCTCTGCTTGAGTGAGCACTAAACTCGTCACTCACCTGAGCACCCACCTGACCCCTGACTCCATCATCAACCACCCTTTCACCATGGTCAGCCTGCTGCTGAACACCCACATCATCTAAAAACTTGTTCATCAAGCGCTCACTCACCTCCTGACGCTGCAGTAGTGGATGAACCCTCACCTGGCTCCTCAGGAGCGGTACTCTCAGTAACCCCCTCCGGGGCCCCACTCGTTTCCGCTGCAGTGGAGGCCCGGTTCTCCTGCGCGCTCCTGCGCTCATTTAACGGACACTCAAACCGTTTATGCTTAACGCTCCCGCACTTAAAGCACTTCAGATCGTCCGAGCTGGCGTACACCATATATGACCCGTCGCCATGAGACACACGGAACGCGGCCTCGAGCGTTTTATCCGCGCTATTCAGGAACATAAACACCTGCCTCCTGAAGGACAGGACATGCTTCAGTGCCGCGTTCTTACAGCCCAGCGGAATCGACCTAATCTCACTCGCTAACTTTCCAAAGCGATTCAGCTCCTTGGCGATCAGTTAATTTGAGATGAAAGGAGGAATATTGGAGACGGTGACCTTCGTTGCCGGCGTCACTAACGGAGACACCGGCACAAAAGTCTCCAACACCCAGATTCCCCCTTCCACCAGTTCATTCACTAAGCGCGCCTCCTTCACAAACACCACTACTGCTTTATTCATTCTAGATGCAGAGCAGATTTGGTCGTAACCAACTTTCTCCCCCACCGCGAGCAGCACGTCCTCGACTGCTGCTTCAGCCGGCGGGACACACCTGAACCCGTTCGAGCGGGAGAGAGACGGCGTCGCCCCCGAAAGGCGAGACGCCATGACCCACCCACTCGCCGCCCTTGGCGGTTAAAACGGCCTACAGTGAAGAGTGACCAGTCAGAAATATAGAAAACCCCCAAAACCAGGGAAAACTAGGAAAAAGAAAAGGCACACTTTCCTTCACACACACCACCGCTCACTCACACGCACTCGCCAACGCTCCGCCCACTCCCAGCATGCAGCAGAGAGAGAGAGAAAGAGAGAAGGAGTGAGAGAAAGAGAGAGTGAGAGAGACAGAGAGAGAGAGAGAGAGAGAGATGTTTAATGGCTTTGTGAGGGTCTCATTGTTCTGTCTTGTGTGTTTGTGATGGTTTGTATAAAGTTTGCATGTTGAGTCTGACTGTGACTGTGATAAGTGTGAGTTCATATCTGACATTCTGTCTTGTTTTATGTTTTACAGCTTCTGAAAACCACCTGCACTTGACCTGCTATGAGCTTCTCAAACTCTGGGCTGATGAGCAGAGGACGACGTCTTATAGAACCTACAGATTGTCTTGGTTGTCAGGTTTGTTCACTCATTGGCCAAATCTGTGATCACAGATGCAGGGATTTCTTTATTTTCCTGGATACCATTGGCTGCACCTCAGATAGTACATCTGTCAATCTCCTCACATTTGAGGTCGACCCCACATTGTTTAGAGGAACACAAGATGCTCCTCTTCCTCTCAAAGCACCTGGACTCCTGGGATCAACATCAACCCTCTCAAACCAGTGGAAATGTTGACAGACTCTCATAAACTCACTGTAGAAATCAAGACTGCAGCTGGGAGAGTTCAGCGTCCTTCAGGTTCCTGGAGGTCAGCGTCTCTGTTTAACACACAGTCATTGTGTTGTATGTGTCTGTCAGAATCTCATCATATGCTGATTTGATTATGCAGAATTCACATGCTTGAACGGTTTAAGAATATACAGAGTGTGCAAGAGAGTGTTTCTTTCTCATGTTAGGTTACTGTTTTCAGTTTTGATTTGATGTGTACTTTATGTAAAGCCTTTTAATTATTTTATGCATTGTTTTTTTCACCCCTATTTTAATAATAAAAGTCTGGGGACATAGTAACATCCTGAAATGATCATTTCAAAGCCCCGTTATGTCAACAAAGGGGTGGTGTAGTCTTCATGGTGAACTGAACATGGTGTGATTTATTTATTTTTATTTCTATTTAAAATCAATCAATCAATCAATCAATCAATTAATAATTACTTTCCGGGCTCGTGCTCTACTCAGACCACGGCCGGGCAGAATAAGAGCTGTGAGGTTTTTCACAGGTCAGTCTGAACAGTTTGAACCTGGTTTCTTTATCTGAGAGCTCGACTTTTGAAGCGACTACTTCCTAATAGTGACCACTGTAAAACAAACACACACAGACAGATATATGACTAAATAATAATATCATCAAAAATAATTAAAGATTAAATATCTATAATTATCATTATTTAATCATTTATTTTACAACAATAATAATAATAACAACAATAATAATAAATAATTTACATCAGTCAAATTATTTTAGGATGACTATTATTATATTATTATTATTATATATTATTATTATTTATATACAAAAAAATAAAGCACAGATCAAATTACATCCTTATAATAATTCCAAAGAAATATATTGAATCATTATTATGTGATCATTCATTTATTTTATAATTACAAAAATAATTATTATAATAAATATTATAAGGTAAATAAGTTATTTTTTATTATTATTATGATAACATTATTATTTTTATTATGTCCACATCATAGAATAAAACAATGAAAGTTTATTATTTTAATTATTATTATTTAATCGTTTGTTTATTTTATAATAATAATAATAATAATAATAATAATAATGTAAACTAATCTAATTATATTAAGATGACTATAATTATTATTTTTATGCAAAGAAAATAAAGCATTAATCATATAACATTCTTTTATTATTGAATAAATACATATAAGTAAATAAATAAATAAATACATAAACAAAAAACGAATTATTTGAATTATTATTACGATTTAATTATTTATTTTACACTTATAAGAATAATTGCTCTAATAGTTATTATAAATAATGTAAATAAATTTCATTTATTATGATTATGATAATTATTTTTTTATTTTAAAATAAAAATAAAGCATAAATCAAATTATTTTATATGATCGAATAAATAAATAGATAATAAATAAAAATAAATGATATAAAGTACATTAAAAGAACAGATTAATTAAAAACAAGGTTATAAAAAGCCTTTCCCACTTAATGAAGTGCTGAGCTGTGATTGGTCTGTTAGTAAATTGTTTCTGGTTCACTAAACAACATTAAACTCTGAGTTTTGTTTATATGAACATTAAGAATCACTGTTCACCACATTTCATCTCAGTTTTCTACACCGTCAAAAACACCATCAGACAGACTTTCTCTCTTTCAGAGAGACTTTATCTCTCCTCCTTCTGATTGATCTTTTTGGAGTGGATTAGTAAATTAGAGGTTTGGACTTCACTTCAAAAACACTTCACTACAAACTAAATCAAAGAAGTGTCTTTAAACTGATCCACAAACATCACCCAGTACTGTAATGTGTTGTTTGGAGGCCATGAAATCTGCACTCAGAGCAAGAATCAGTTTAAGCTCATTAAAGGGTTCAGTTCACTAACGGCCAGCTCACTACACGGACTGCAGCTCGTCCACTCTGATGGAGTCAGACTGAAAGGACACTCATCAGCCCAGATTTCCTTCATGTTTCTCTGGATTTCAGCTCCGGCAGCGACACGAGAGAATCATCTGCCCGACTGGCCGCAGAATTTGGGCTCCTAATAGCTCTAAATCAGCAGGAGGTTCTTATTTTATCATTAAACTGTCGAAGAGCTCAGAGTTTGTATTGATCACCAGTCAAATTAGAGAGGCTGCTTTCACTCAGAAAGGGGCGGGGCCATCACACAAGGCCAGAGTTCAGATGTGCTGCTCTCATTTCTGAGAGCCGACTTGCTCACAGCTACAAAACAGACCTGCGCTAACGGAGCTAATGTGTTTGAGATGTTCAGCCTTTTGCAATGAGATGTTGCTGAAATAAATAAATGCTGCTGGTGCAGCTCGACTGCAGTAGCCTAGCATGATACAGCTTTACCCACAACACAGACTCAGTCCAGCTCAGTGAAGCTTCACTGACATCAGTTCAGACAGTAAAGACTCTAATCTGTGTTTCTGGGTGTGGAGCCATCAGCTTAAGCTGCTTTTGATCCACTGTCCTCATTAGCACTAGAGGCTAACAGTAGCTTAGCGAGAAGGCTAAAGCAGCACATTCACAGATCTTCTTATTCTAAACGAGTGTTGAGGTTTAGAGACTCAATTATGGCCTTTTTAGAAACTTCCTGAGCAAAACAATAAAACATTAAAGGATTTAACAAATTCAGCAGAAATGATTTTTGTAGCTGAGCTTTAAACTACAAACACAAAGACGGGGGATTTTTGTTTATAGACCCCCAAATATATCATAATTACTATAACTTCAGAAGATCTCATATAAAAGCGTATTACTGTACGAACATCTGTGCAGTTAGACAAAGAGAAAAATATTAAAAAGACATCAATCCTTATGAAGAATTTCTGCTCATAAAGGAACAAATATAATAAAACACACACACAGACAGATATATGACTAAATAATATCATTATAATAATTAAAGATTAAATATCTTTATTATTATTATTTAACCATTTGTTTGTTTTACAATAATAATGATTTTAGTAATTATAAATAATGCAAATGAGTTTAATAATTGTATGATTATTATTATTATTATTATTATTATTATTATATTTTTAATAATTTGTTTATTTTATAATCATAATAGTAAATTATGTAAAGCAGTGTAATTAATTTAAGATGACTATTATTGTTGCTATTATTATTATTATTATTATTATTATTAATAATATACAAAAATAAAGTATAAATAAAATTAAGTTCTTAATTTAAGAAATAAATACATTTAAATAAATAAATACATAAATAAATACAAATAAATATTTTGAATTATTATTATGTATTTATTTATTTTACTATTGTAAGAATATTTATTATAATAATGATTATAATGTAAATAAGTATATTTATTATTCTAATAATTATTATTTGTATTATTTTAAAATCAAAATAAAGCATAAATTAAATTAGATTTTTATATTATAGAATAAATAAATAGATAATAATAAGAAGAAGAAGTGAAAAATATTAAAAAGCCATCAATCCTTATGCAGAATTTCTGCGTATAAATTATTCATACACAAGCATAAAACTGCATCCATGATCCTATAGTGTGCAGAACAAACTGAAGAGGTGAGATCACTGGATATAGATATAGGGATGAATGAGGAGGACAGGATGGAGAGAGGAGAGGAGAGAGTGAGTGAGAGTCACTATCACTGCTGTTTACACTGCTCTGCAGCTTTTCTGAACTGTGGAAGTTTCTTCTCCTTCACGTCTCTCTCTGCTCTTTCTCTGAGCTCCCACTTCAGCTGGACTATCTCTTTGTCTTTGGCCTCAACCAGTTCCTCCATCTCTCTTCTCAGCTCTTCCTCTCTCTCCTGAATCCTCTCTCCACACTTTCATACATCTCGTTGGTGAGTAGCCACCATCATTTTCTGACCCCAAACTGAAGATCTTATCCATCAGTGCAGTGACCTGAGTGCGGTCTGCCATGTTCGTTGATAAAGAAGTGATAGCGTCCACCACACGTCTCCACCACCTGACTCAGCTCGTTTCCTGCTGTAGCCAAATACTCCTCTATGGTCTGGTTTTCCAGTCGGTCCACCTCAGTGAAGAGAACGATGGTGTATTTAGGCGCCTCATCACCAAAGATCCACTGCAGTCTCTTCACCGTCTGTCGATCCTCTTGAATGAAGTGACCCACTGAGAGCACCAGGAGGAAGACGTGTGGTCCAGGACAGGACAGAGTGATACATTCAACCAGTCTGTTAATCACTGCTGTTTCTGTCAGGTCAGTGTCAAATAAACCAGGAGTGTCGACCACAGACACTTTACAGCCATCAACCTCTGCTCTGGCCTTTATACAGTCTTTGGTCACTGACTGAGCAGAACTGGACACGTGGAAGACCTCATGGTCCAAGATGGTGTTTCCAGTAGAGTCTTCCCCACCAGCACTATCCTTAGTTCAGAGACTTAAGAAAGAAAGCACAGAGATGTAAAGGAAGGACACTAATTTAGGACCTTTCTTTAATCCAGATCATCACATCTTATTAATATTATACAAACAGAAATTATTTTATTTATAATAATTGTATTATTTCTACACTTTTCCATATAACGGTGGGTCTATATGTGTGTATGATGGTTATGATGTTGGGGAATATAAGACGGTGTCATGTGGGGCTTTTGGATTTGTGTTTTTTGCTACATCAAGTCTGTTTATGCTCAGAACTGTAGAGGTCACTTCATTTGGACTGTACTTGGTCCAATGGAGCTCACAGAGCATATTAGCTATGGCTTCATATTAGTGTGCTGCATCTTAGCGACGGCTCCTCCAACAGCAACTGAAAGGTCTGACAGTGAATACACAGATATATTCACTAATATCTGTCCCAGAAACAGCTTTTGGATTTGGATTCATCTCAAATATTATTTTTAGTTTTTAATTATTCAGTTATTTTTTGTTATGTTTCTTTATTTGTCCAGCTGGAAACTTACATTTAGGACCTTCATGCCTGCTGCTGGTCTCTTCTGCTCTTTCTCAGCTGTATGTGCTGCAGCAAGAAAACAAAGCAATTCGCACTTAAAAAGACGGTTCTTTAGTAAAGGCAGTGAATCTATTTAGAACCGTTCCTCAGTGTTTTTTTCATGGTGAAGTGTCTCTTCAGACTGATGGAGAACGTGTTGTATTTGGTTCTATATAGAAACTTTTTTGAAAATGGTTTTTAAATCACACCATAAACTGGACATAGAAGAGCCCTTTTCGGTGCTACATAGAACCATTGCCTTTACTAAAGAACCCTTGAAGAACCACCTTTTTAAGAGTGTAGATTACTTAGAAAATTACAGAAACTCAAACGAAACAACCATAAAACATCAGTCTGTGTAGTTCAGGTTACTCTAACTGTAAAGTGTGAACTTCAAGTTGTGTTTATTTTTTTTTTCTAAACCAGAACAGATTTGAAATCAAAAGTAAGTCTGGGCTGCTGGTGGATCTGGTGAATCTGGTGGATCTGGTGGATCTGGTGTAAAGCTGAGTTGTGGTCGTCACTCTCCTGTGTTTATCTAATGGGCTCTTTATGGTGTTAAAGAACATGTGAGAGAGAGGCTTTTCAGTTCCCAGCAGTCTAGAATAGAGTTTAGAAGTCTCATGGGTCTTAGGAGAAAATATAAAATTAGAGACAGTATATAAAATTAGAGACGAGCTCAAGCCCTTTGCATTTAAAAGAACAGCACTACTTCACAGTTGTTTAGACCCGGTGGCCACGGAAATAAACGTTTAAAAATAACTAATTAATAGATTTGGAATCATCAGTCGACTCCTTATTGGCTACATTTCAGACAGGACAATATTATTTATATTATATCGGAACATATTTCAGATTTGAAAGGTTTAAATATGTATGTGTATTAAAAGCCGTCAAAGGCCTTGTGGCATTGTGATTATGAACTGATCAGTAAGATGAAATAAGTAAGAATAAGTAATAAGTGTGATGTTAGAATGTCTGTCTCCTTCCACAGATCTCTCTGTCTTTCAGGAGATTTTAATGCTTTGTTTGTGCATTAATGGTAACAGTCTTGTTTGTGTTTTATATTGGCTGCAGTTCTGAAGGGGAACAGCACAGCCACAGCTCATGAGACGGCTTTTAACTCTGTTTTTCTTTTCTTATTTGACTCAGAAACTAAAACGAACATGATTTTGTCTTGTTAAATAATTACGTTGATTTCCTTTACATTAAAACATTGAAAATCATGTACAATACTGACTCAGCTTATGGTTCAAAGGCAGAAATCCTTTCTGAATTGATGCACAGGATCTTTGTCACAGTCCTGACGCAGTTCATGGTCCAGTTTTATGTTCCACAAATGAAATTAAGAATAACTGCACATTTTCAATAAAGTTTCCATTCAACAAAGTTTGTTCTATGTTTACATTGGGATCAGAATTGTTAGTGAACTACAGGAAGATTCTCTGCCTGGTGAAAAGGTTCTTCACATTGACAGATAACATGTTGGCATATGCCAAATATGCATGCAGCTAGCGTATCTTTGATTATTGTGTAACAGACGTGTACAATACCAGAAGTATGGTGTCCCTGGGAAATGTAGATGGTACATTGTATTTACCATTGTATTTATCTCAATTAACATCTATAGGCTGATGCAGCATCCAAAGACTGTCTCCTTTTCCCTGTGTGGAAACCTGGACACTGGTTCCTCTGCGTAAGTCATTCAATACAGTTGTCATTTCACTCAGTTTTTGCTATTGGAACATAAGTTATTTTTTGGAAAATTATTTATTTTTAAATGATTCCCCTCATGTAGCATCTGGCGTCTAGCCAAATATTTTTTTAAATAGTATTTGTTCTCTGATTGGAAAGAACAGGAGTTTATGTGAATAATGTCTTTTTAATTCATGTGTTATTGTTAGTGATACAGTTCTAGGTCAAAATTATATGAAAGAATTCAAACAAAGTAACAAAAGGTAATGCAGGATGTTACAGAGATGGCATGTGAACTCTTGATTCAACAGTCTGAATGAACCACAAAGCTCTGTTCCACCCAAACATGTACGTTTCTGGCCAGAGCTGTTAATTGATTCCCCCATATGTAAGTATGGTGTCTGCTGTTAGTGTTGAATTCCCAGGTCCACCCTATCACCATGGATTCTGTCACCAGGTTGTGTCCAACATGTAAAGTGAGCTGTTTGTGAGTGAAAAGCAAAGATTGACATATGTTGCCATCATAACTTGTGTACTTCAGGTCCTGATGCCAAAATATTGCAGGATTTCTCAGCTGGACTCAGCTGACCCTAGTGGTTTTGGGGACAAAAAATATTTGACCATTTTCAGGTTTAATTTTAACACTCATAATAGAAACTGTTCAGCGTTCCTTATGGATTCATTGTTCCTTATAACTTTCAGAGTTCTGAAAGTCAAATGTTATTTGTGATGTTCCACATGTTCTTTTATTCTGCATGTTCTGCAAGTCATAGACAGCTGCCCTTCAAAGTGTTACCAGTACAAATAATGTTGGCCAAATAGGCCATTTTTATTTGGCCTTCAAGTAAATTTTTGGCTGTTGTCTATGGCTTCGGGGATGGGTGGTGGTTTTGTTATACTGATGTTCGGTCTGAGTTCTGTTCCATAGCACTCTGTCTGGATTGCCCTCCAATATGATAAAAAAGAGCTGAATATTTTATCTTTTGCAGCTCAGTTGCAACACGTCTGGTCCCTGGGCACTGGAAGCTCATCAAAAACAAGGTACAGTAGTACAAAAATGATCAAAATCAACATTTTTCACTCCTTGTTCAGTGTTGTATGTTAACAATTCTTAAAACAATGTCTTGACAGGATATTCCAGCCCAGTTGGAGGTTGATGACTGTGGTGTTTTCATGCTGTTGGTAAGCTGTAAATTAACGGACTAGGGCTGTTCTGTTCGAACAAGCTTTGTGCGTAATTCAAACAGTTAAGGTGTACATGGTCCAGTGTTATCTATACCTCCATTAAAGATACAGAATAGTCAATATCAGTCACATTCTAGTAGTTTAATGTTGAGGGTTTCCAGTAAGGATTTAAACTACATTCTCAACTTTGTCTTCCATCTGTTAGCATGACATCCCACGGCTTCGTAGATGGTGGTGTCAGTTGCTTTTGGAAAACATGTCACCTCCAAGGTACACAAACATACATACTCAAGTGAAATGTTTCTATGTACCTTTGGCCTACTCCTCAGACACACTGTAAATATTCCTTCTTAGAATGGTGAGCTGCTATGTGCCAGGAGAGGACAGACAGCGTAATGAGGGCAAGATTGAGGAACCTGCAAGGTATGATGGTGTAGTTGAGCCCACATAAGGGCACACATCAGTGCACAGCTGGTCCTATTTAAAATAGTTGTATATAGCTCAATTTTAACATGTTACATGGTCCCATCCTGAATGGTATTAATTCTTCATCGACTGCTGTTTGTAACACTGTAGGTTTTGTTCTCAGAGCGGTCTTATCTTGCCTTTATTGTTAACAGTAAACACAGTGCCAAATTCTTCAATTTTGGGTTATAAGGAGACTCCAGTAAATAGCACAATATTCTTGTGGTTCCAACCTTGTGTAAGGCAGACAACATCTTGAACACACTGGTTCTTAACAATGGACATGCAGATGTGTCCATCCCTCCATCCTCTGACCCCTAGGCACAGAGATGACCTTAGGATAACTATATAGGATAACCTACAACTATGCATAAATGTATATGAACATCATGAACTGACCCTACAGTATGGACAGCGGACTGAGCATTGTGCCATGGCAGTCTAGAGTGTCACTTAAGTTCTGTGTGCTGGTCAGCCTTATTTGCCCCTCTGGTCATCTGGGGGGAACTGTCTGCTCCCTCTCTGCCCTCTCAGGCTATGGTCTGGCTCCTTCTTCTCCACCTCTCCTTTACTTCTCTTAACTTCTCTTATTCTCACCATTGTTGAGCTCTTGTGTTGAGATCTGTTTGCTCTATTTCCCTCACTCATCTCGTCATCTCACTCATTTTGGGTTTGTTTTTTACGTTCTTTGCATTTAATGCATAAACATTTATTTGGTTATTATATGACCATGTATTTAGATTAATTGACAACCATTGTATTTAACAATTGGCCACCATTTCATGTAATACAAATGTCATTGTTTAGTCTATGCCTTATTTAATTTTTGAAACAAATGCCTCATAGTGCATCGAAATATAAAAAGCAAAAGTGTAATTTAGTGGAGTCACGTTAATTGGTCTTAGTGATCTTACAGTAGTGGGGATTGATGCACCTTACATAGTTGATGCTGTAATATATATCACCCCAGTGCATTGTCCTGACCCATACAAACATAAGCCTTCCAGTCTGGTCAACTAAATTTACATGTGACGCTATTGAAATCTTAATTGTACAACAGTTGTCACAATATAATTTCTCTTAGGAAAATTCAACGCGTTGAATCCGTGGATGGTGAAGGAGGGCGAATGGATACCATTTCCATTGTCCAGGTATTTATGTGGCTGAACTGGGCAGTTTCTTTTTGCTTACTGTGCTGTAGCCTTCACAGATGATTAAGCTGGGGTTCGTGTTCTAAAATTGGAATGGAGAAGTGGTATAATATTTTAATATTTCCCTGCTTTTGTTTCACTGAAGAAATACTGTAAAACAATATCTGCCTGCTTCTGTAATGTATTTCACAGATGCCTCTCATCATCCTGGAGGACAGACTCTTAGACGTAGTCCTGGAAGAGGGTGACAAAGCTTTTCTGAAGCTGTCACTGGTTTGTCGCCTCTTCCAGGACATAGTTGAAAGAGAATCATTCTGGGCTCGAGCACATTTTCAGTGGCCTGACAGTAAGTAGAAGAAGTATTATGATATTTCTGTACCCTTTAGATGAGGACGGGTTTTATTCCTTATAACAAGGGGTTGTAATCTGATTGATAATTCTCAAATTTGAAACATACAGGTGTAGCGCCATGGAAACTCCACAGTGCGGTCTACCGAGCAGAGTTCCGGAGAATGTATCGATTGGACTGCTGCCAGAACTGTGACAGCTTACCAGGTATGCATACTGTGTCTGAATTTTGAGGATTGTTCCTGAGGTCAGTGGTTGCAAAAGAAGTTAACACAAAAATCTCTTGTGTGTTGGGACCTGAAGATGTTGTTAGAAGTATGCTGCTGTGCTTTAATATTAAAAGTATACCTCTGTATGCTATTTATTGTCCTACAGGCTACATTGGGCGTGGGAGACGGGGGGAACTTCTAGCATTTTACAGTGAAGACACGCCCCCTGGGTTCTGTAGCCAATTCTGCAAAGAGCTTGAAGATTTGAGGATGTGAATAAGTGGATTGTTATTGTGCACATTGGGGGACTTTTAAATTAAGAATGAAACTGCTGTGCTTGTTTTTCCTTGTCTTTCCTTGTCATTGATACAGACTGCACAGGTGTGACCGAACCACATTTGAAGTTTAGTGTTTTACGTGCCGACAAGGTGATAATACAATAAAGTGACAGTACAATAGTAATAAGGTGAATTTAATCATTTATTTAGATACTGTAAGCTGTACTTAAGGGTTCAGAAGTACACATTCTATTTGACTTTATTTTAAGCAACCATATTTACAGGGATTTGTGGATGAAGTGCTAAGCTAGACGGTGAGGTATGCAGCTAAATTTATGTAAATTGTGCACCTTATGGGGACAAGAGTGTTTCATTGGGTTGAGGCAAGGTCTGTTGAAGTGGATGAGCCCCAGGCAACATGCTAGGATAATTACAACCTGAATTCTTTTTGGAGTTGATTAACACACCATCCTTTTAAATTTGAATCATTCCATCAGACCAAGTTCTGTATAAAACACATCACATTCAGTGACTTACAGAAGTGCCACCTGCCTGATGGTCATCAACATTTTCTGGTTAACAAAAGATCAACATATTTTTCCCATCACTGTTTGCATTGTGAACACTTACGCTCTTGTATGTTTCTGAAGGTAACATATTTTGTAAACTAAAAGCTTTGGGAAATTGGGGTGTCGTAACAGCAATTCAGGAAAACCACAAAATCACACAAATAGCTAAAGCAATAACTACAAGACGAATACAAGAAAACAATACGTAAAATATATGCCTGTGGCTCTTTCTGTGCAAAATGAAATAATTTGCATTATATATTGTCTCTCAGAGAGACATTATATCACATTACACAGTGTGATTGCAGCGGGCAGGAATGACCTCTTGAAGCAATTGACATTGCAACAGCCTCCGAGTTGTACTGGAAGTCTAAGGTGTACATGGGAAGGAGGAAAGGTAAGGGTACAGTCACCTGCAGTTCTGCTGTGCTGCTAACCACCTGTTCAGACACAGACCCCCTGTTCAGACACAGACCCCCCCATAGCTGCACAAACTGTGCTCTGTCAGTATTGATGATCCAGGAGGTTGTGGAGTTGTCCAACCTCCATACGTGCTTTCATGTGGCTTTATGCAACCATGGTTACAAGTTAATACATTAAAAATGGTCTAATATTTCAGAGCTTATCATACTGTATACATATGAATTATGAAGTGATTCTACTGTAGAATCTTTAAGTAATTGGCAGCCAAAATCCCCATAATTGTCAAGTGTATTTTATAAATAAGTAAAACTCAGCAAAATATAATAAGTAGTCCATAAAACAAGGAAATATCAGTTAAGAGCCCATCATACTATGTACATATGCACTATGAAGTGATCCTGCTGTACCATTTTTAAATAATTGTCAGTCAACATTCTCAAACCGGCCAATATTAATTATGCATAAATAAAAATCCCCACTTTATAAAATTGTCATTTCCAAAATAAGTCAACAAAACCAACTGGTTTTATGAAGTCTATACTGCTATGTGCATTCAAAACATTGAGTGATATTACTGTAGAGGTGTTTTAAAAATTGGCAGTAAAATGTTTTTCATTTGTCAGTGTAACCAAATCATAATTCAACACGCTCTGAAATGATCATTTTCAAGTAGTCCATAAAACCAACAGAAGTAAGTTCAGAGTTTATCATATTATTTACTTACCAACTATAAAGTGATTTTACTGTGGCATTTTTAACCAAGTGGAAGACACAATCCTCATATTTGTCAATATATTTTAATAATAGGTAAAACAAAATTCGGTGTCATGAAATACAGGGGGGCAAAATCTGGCAAGTTTATGTATTAGAGAGAAATAATTACAGAAGATTTAAGAGATAAATTTTGATTTAAGAGGTAAATGCTCTTTTTACAAAAGTTGTCAATGTTTCTGAAGAATAATTTGACAGATTCATAACATGAAATAAGAGTCGGATTAGATAGAATATTTGTTTTTGAATACCAGAAACAGGGTAAAATGTTTAAAAAAAAGAATTTAATGAAAATGAAAGCAGTAGAATTATGATTAGTTTACCAAACATGCAAAAGTTACAATTAATCTCCTTTTTAAAGTAAATATTACATCAGCAAATTTGAAATGCTTTTTACCATTTCATCAATCTTTTACCAGCACTGTGCAACAGGTACCTGTCTAGAGAGCATTTTAAGCATGCAGTCTTCCAACAATGTCAAATTACCTGAAACAAAGACAGGAAAATGTACAACTGTGTTTCACTACAAAGGCATCAGAAAAGTACATACAGTGATCCTGATACAGGGAGACATTCTTTATAGAATCTCCTCCTACTGAAGTGGACGGCTGAGTCAATCATCTCAATGACCTCTTGCAATCAACCATGCAAACTGACCTCTTGAGACTGGAGGAATAGTGCACTGGGGTGTGTTTGGGAGAAAGGGTTCCACACTGACTGGAGAACTGCTGGTTTTCTTGTTGGCTGCTTCTGCCATCACAAAAACAGGATCTGGTTCAGAAGGAAATCTGTATTATAACATGGTTTATTTGATTTATGTGTCAGTAACATTGATCAGGGCGAGGATTTTAACTGCTGATTATTTGAAATGCTTTGGTAAAATCACTTCACGTAATGCGAGGAGCAAAATACACATCTAAGAAAAAAGGGGCGAATCTGTCACTGGGGTGGGGCCCTCAGGGGTCCATCTCAGTCCCTTCAGTCAGGGAACATAACTGAACCATAATCCACTGAAATGATGTGTTCTGAGCTGTGCTGACTCCACACACCCCGTCTCGCCTCCAGGCTTTTATTTTACTGTTCTGTTTAAAACATTCGGTTATGAAAAGGTACAAATACGAACTTTTCACCTGGAACAACTTATTTAAGGTTCACAATCAGACCTTAAACCACTGCTGAACCTCTGAGGGAACATTTACACTGTTTGTGCCTAAATGAACGGAAAACGTCCCTGAACAGAACCTTCATTACTAACCGTGTGAAAAAGACTCTGAACTGATATCTGTTCATTTTATTTTCTAAGTATCCAATTCTAATTATTATGTAGTTGGACTAGTAATTATGAGGATAATGCTGGGGTGAAATGACTTCATAATTCATATGTACAGAATATTATGAACTCAAATGATATCTGTTGGTTTTATGAACTACTTATTGGAAACGACCATTTAAAAACGTGTTTAGATGTGCTTATTAAAGCATAAAGTGCTTAATAAAACATAAACATTAAAGGAAAGTCGAGATATGTTCAGTACAAATCCTAACCGAACAGAAAAACAACACAAACGCAGAAAACCGTCAACAGCGCCGCTCTACGGAAAGTACGCGTAAATCAAGCGCCACGAAGCGCTTCTTGAACGCACAGCGTGATTGACAGGCTCGTGAGGTGACGTAGGGTGGGCGGGGTTGGATGTCGCAGCCGGACACAGCTGTTTCAGTGTGAGTGCAGACTGTTTGCTTTTTTTGACAGCCTCTTCAGGAGCCGCTCATAATGAAATAACCAGTGAATGTGGGTTTGTTTTCATTGTCGTGTAGGTTTATAGTCATGTTAGTTTCATATTTTGTTCAAACTTATCTTCCATCTGAGAACAGTAATGCCAAAAGAAACGATTCCTTAACCCAAACCCGAACCCTAACGGTAATCTCCACTGAGTGAACTACAAGTAGCGCCATGTTGGTCCACATTCCATGACATTAAGCATTAGTGCATATGGGTAATGTAGTTGTCACTGTGCTATAAAGGGAGACACATTTCAGTTTGCCCCTGAAATTCTGGATTTGAAGTGAATCAGATTGTAAAACTTTTTTTAACCTTTCTATATAAGCCTGAAACGTGTCTACAATATTTTTATATGCAGCATAAGAAATTTCTCACTTACAGAATCCAAAATTAACATAAACCAGTCATGCTGGGCCGGAAGGCATAATTGGGGAAAGACTATGAGTATAAAATCTTTCTGAATCTTTAAGATGAACTTGCTAAACACCAAAAATGTTCAAGTTCTTCAATCGTGTCAGAAGTACACTCTTTTAAAAATAGTTTGTTAAGGGTTCTTTAGTAAAAACAAATGATTCTATATATAATCTTTTTAAAAAACGGTTCTACATAGCACCAAAATGGGTTCTGTTGTTGTTACAAGCTTGACATCATAACAATAGAAGAACCCTTTTGGTGCTATATAGACCCTTACACAGCACTTTCTCCATCAATCTAAAGAACCATTTCATGATGCAAAGAACCCTTTAAACAAGAGCTCTTTGAGTGTTCATGGTTCTATATAGGACCGTTGTCTTTACTAAAGAACCCTTGAAGAGCCATCTTTTTAAAAGTGTAGGATCTGAACTGAACTTAACGCAGTAGTAGTTTCGGACAGCCATTGAACCCTGAAGTCTTCATTGACCTCACAGAAATGAGGAAGATTTATGAGTGAGCCTGCTGACTGCAAGACAACGATGTGGAAACATTAAAAGGGCTTGGACAAGTGCTGGTACTGCCTAGGGTGAGTACCACACTGAACTTAGTCAGCGGCTTTGAACGACCTCTCACTGGAAAGACCCTGAAAAATTCTGCTGACTTTTTAAAACACCAAACCAGTCCAACCTATAGACCAGACCAGGAGTAAAGTATGGACCAGTCTTCAGACACTTTTGTGGCTATTGGAGAGACAGATTTGAAGCAGAATTACAAGCCCTCTGAAGACTCTGACAGGCATCACCTAATGGTCATCAGATCTATGAAGGTACAGTCCCCTCAGTGACCAGTGAAGACCAGGCTTGGACAAAATACTTTGAAAAAGTAGTGATGGCTGAATACTGAATACACTGTCCTAACTGTATTCAGTAATGTATTCCACTACATTATATGAAAAAAATGTATTCAGAACATACAATAAATTTACAATCCGTACTGATAAAGTACACAGGAAAAACTGCTGTCATTTTTATTTTTAATTCATGCTGTTCCTAGCTGTTACTGGTTGGCAGCTTTATTCATGTAATTCTTCTGATTTGTTTAATAAAAAATGTCATTTTTCATATTTTCCCCGAATCCCACTGTCCTTTAAAGACCTAAGCCAACAATTCACCATATCCCAATACAAATTCTTGCGATTTTCAGCTAAAGATATGTGCATAACGTGCCACAGAATATATGCACAAGTCCACTACAATGCCAAAGCTAAGCTTATCACTTGAGAACATTTCCACTACTCAGTTCAGTCATTCCTCAGAGTTTACTAATGCTCATGCTAATGCTAATGTTTGTCACAGTGATTTATCAGCCTACTCAGGTTTTAGAAGGAACCTCAGTGTTTGTAAAGAGGCCGTTTTTGAGGTCTTCTTTAGAGTAAGATTTTACATGCTGTGTGCTGATTTTATAAATAGTTACTTACAAGCATATATGGGGTTTCTTTGAAAGATGGTATATGATTTTATTTTCAATTTAGTGGGTATTTTAAAAATATTCTCCTAAAAAATATAAAGTAACTGAATACTGCCTTAACAAAATGTAACTTGGACTAAATATAGATTCTCAGTACATATTCTGAATATCTGCATTCCAATACATCCAAACCCTGGTGAAGACTCAAAGGCACTATTCTCCATATTACCCTGCTTTGGATGTGGAAGCCCCTCTCTGTGGTGGGACTGCCCTAATTCTAAGAAGCACTTCAACTGTGTAAAAATGAGCCATATAAAATCTGAATGTTACAACCTGCTGAAGTTGTACAGAGTTCTCCTCCAAATGGAATCTTAGACTGGAAGTCACCCACAGTGGACATCACAGCCAAGCAGTGGGTCATCACCATCAACAAAGGAGAACGGAGGCCTAGTAGGCATCAGCCTCTGGACAATCACCCCTGTGCTCACACATTGTTAGAAGGCTGGTAGTACAGAACTATCAAAGATAGTTCTACACAAATATCATACATAACTACATAGAGGATGCTGGTGTCCATAACTGATCTTGACCTCAGTACAACACCAGACACATTAACTGTATCAGGAGTTACCATCCACACGAGTGTTGTCAACCCTCTGGAAACTGATGAACACATTACAGGTCCACATATAAGCAGGCCCACCAAACTCAGTAGGAAACATCAAAGATTGAAAAAAAATGTCAAAAAACTCATATTTCCATGACATGTATAGTGCGCATATATATATATATATATACACACACACATGTGAAAAAGTGATTGCCCCCTTCCTGATTTCTTATTCTTTTGCATGTTTGTCACACTTAAATGTTTCAGACCACAAAAAAAATTAAATATTAGACAAAGATAACACAAGTAAAGAAAAAAAAACGCAGTTTATAAATCAAGATCTTTATTATTAAGGGAAGAAGAAATCCAAACCTACAGGGCCCTGTGTGAAAAAGTGATTGCCCCCTAAACCTAATAACTTGTTGGGCCACCCTTAGCAGCAACAACTGCAATCAAGCGTTTGCGATAACTGCAGCAAGTCTTCCAGGTCCTGAAGCAGCAAAACAGCCCCAGACCATCACACTACCACCACCATATTTTACTGTTGGTATGATGTTCCTTTTCTGAAATGCTGTGTTACTTCTACACCAGATGTAATGAGACATACACCTTCCAAAAAATTACAATTTTGTCTTGTCAGTCCACAGAGGATTCTCCCAAAAGTCTTGGGGATCATCAAGATGTTTTCTGGCAAAACTGAGACAAGCCTTTATGTTCTTTTTGCTCAGCAGTGGTTTTCATCTTGGAACTCTGCCATGCAGGCCATTTTTGCCCAGCCTCTTTCTTATGGTGGAGTCATGAACACTGACCTTAACTGAGGCAAGTGAGGTCTGCAGTTCTTTGGATGTTGTTGTGGGGTCTTTTGTGACCTCTTGGATGAGTCGTCGCTGCGCTCTTGGGGTAATTTTGGTCGGCCGGCCATTCCTGGGAAGGTTCACCACTGTTCCATGTTTTCACCATTTGTGGATAACGGCTCTCACTGTGGTTCGCTGGAGTCCCAAAGCTTTAGAAATGGCTTTATAACCTTTTCCAGACTGATAGATCCCAATTACTTTGTTTCTCATTTGTTCCTAAATTTCTTTGGATTGCAGCATGATGTCTAGCTTTTGAGGATCTTTTGGTCTACTTCACCTTGTGTGGCAGTAATCAGGCCTGGGTGTGGTTTCCAAAGATTTGATAAACTACAGTTAATTTTTGTTTTGGGGGGGCAATCACTTTTTCACACAGGGCCCTGTAGGTTTGGATTTCTTCTTCCCTTAATAATAAAGACCTGCATTTATAAACTGCATTTTGTGTTTACTTGTGTTATCTTTGTCTAATATTTAAATTTGTTTGGTGATCTGAAACATTTAAGTGTGACAAACATGCAAAAGAATAAGAAATCAGGAAGGGGGCAAACACTTTTTCACACCACTGTGTGTGTGTGTATATATATATATATATATATATATATATATATTTGTTAGGTACTCTTACCTTGCACCTGGACATTTAATCTGGTACATCTACTATATAGATAAATAAGTGCTTATTTGTTAAAACACACTAAAAACACAAACATTAAAACAAATACAAATAAACCTTGCAAAAACCAAATTAACAATGCATTGTGACAATGTGTTTTAGCCTAATCACTTTTAAAACTCTCTTCTATTTGTCTTTACGTACATGAATGAAAACAGAATCAGAATTACAAATTTATCAAATTTGATTTTGTTCAGAAAATACACACATTCATACATCATGTCTTTGTCAGAACAAAACTGTGTATTTTTTTTTAATTGAAAACTCAATTTTATGATTATTGGACCAACAGACAAACGACAATATTACTTGAAATAAAATGTTACATTAGCTTACTTTGCAAGTTACTGAATGTTTAGGCTTTTTCCTCTAGTTATCTAATCTAGTGATCATCACGGAGATCTACGATCCTGCAGGAAATGTAATACATCTCACAACTCATTCTGTAATCAAGGACGTCTGAGCACAATAGTTGGATAAGGTTCATCTGATAATGATTGGAGCTAAAGTCCTAAGGGAAGGCAGACTTCAAGGAACAGGGTTGGTGATCACCGATCTTATCAATACTTCATTGCAATAAATCAGGTGAGCTGCTGGTAGAACTGAACAAATCCATGCAGTGGCTGGAGTGGTGTTAGAAGAACACCTGTGTTCTTCTAACATATCAATAACTTTACTGACCAATAGTTTTTTTAATTATTTTCTTGACTGCCTAATATTCTTATAGCATAACTAATTAACTGACTAATCCATGTTTATTAAAAAAAAAAGAAAAAAAAAAAAAAAACAAAACACACATTAGATTAAATACAAAAACAACACTATTTTGTGTGTGTTAGCTTAACCATTTTCAAAGCTTTCCTCAAAGAAGTCCAGAATTTACAGATTATATCTACAACCCCATTTCCAAAAAAGTTGGGACGCTGTGCTAAGCATAAATAAAAATAGAATTCAATGATATGCAAATCAATTAAACCATATTTTTAAAAGAAAATCCTACAAGGACAACATATCAAATGTTGAAGCTGAAAAATTTTATTGGTTTTTGAAAAATATTTGTCCATTTTGAATTTGAAGCCAACAACATGTTCCAAAAAGTGGGACGGTGGCCTGTTACCCTGTGTTTCATCACCTTCTCCTTTTACCAGCACTCTGTAAGCGTTTGGGAACTGAGGAGACACTGCTGTAGTTTTGGAAGTGAAATGTTTTCCTGTTCTTGTTTGAGGGCCCAAAGATGATGGCCAGCAAATACTGGTTTTGGCCTTGTCCCTTGCGTACAGATTTGTCCAGATTCTCTGAATCTTTAAATGTTATTATGTACCATAGATGATGAAAAGCAAAAGTGCTTCGCTATTCTTGAATTGTTGCAGTATTTGATGGTGCAGTCTTTCACAGAGTGGTGAACCCCTCCTCATCTTTACTTCTGAAAGACTCCGCCTCTCTGGGATGCTCCTTTATACCAAATCATGTTACCACCAGGTGTTTTTTAAGCATTACACAACTTTACCAGCCTTTTGTTGCCCCTGTCCCAACTTTTTTGGAATGCTTTGTTGCCATCAAATTCAAAATGGGAATATATTTTTCCAAAAACAATTAAATTTCTCAGTTTCAACAATTGATCTGTTGTCTTTGTACTATTTTCAAATCAAATATAGGGTTTAAACGATTTGCACATCGTTGCATTTTGTTTTTATTTACATTTTGCATAGCGTCCCAACATTTTTGGAAATGGGGTTGTAATACCTAGTTTATCTAATCAATCCTGCATGTTTAGAACTTATTTAGAAGGTATTACTGAATTATCTAAACACTGAGCAATACTTGGCACAGAACATCAGACGATCGATTAATCAGACAGATGCGTAAGCAGATATGTTACAAGATTTCTTCATCTGACAGATCTGGGCTGCTGTATCCCTCCTCATCGTCCGCTTGGTCTGTGTCCTTCAGAAATGTTAGGTTGACTTTGGGGTTCTTTTCTGCTATCAGGCTATAGGTCCTTCTCACATCCATTTGCTGCAACTGTAAATGGTGGAGTCTGCGCAAGAGAACACTTTGAAATCCAAGGATAGCTTCTTCTGTCAGATGATTTGATAACGCTGTGTAAAAATGAATGAGTGAAATAAAAAATTAGAAAGTTTATTGTAACCAGTCAGTGGAACAGTCTGCACAGTTTGTGGCTGTGTCACAGTAGCGAGCTCCGCTCACTCGCTGCACAGCCAGCAGGTTGTTCTCCAGCTCCTTACACTACATTCCCAAACTGTCATCACCACTGAGCAAACTTTTGTTTTTTATTGCAGCATTTTATGGCTCAGTCCGATTTGGTCAGACTCTGAAGATCAGACTACACGTTTGGCGAATGGTATTGGGTTCATTTCTGGCTGATTCCAGGTTGTTCAGCTGTTCTTCTGTCACAGCTGCCGACTGAAAAGCTGCTCAGTGGTGATGACAGTTTGGGAATTTAGCGTCGTCTCATCTTCAGAGTCTGACCAAATCGTCTGTCGATCAAATGAGATCTTAGAAGTGTCCGTTTTCTGTTTGTGGCAAAGTAAGAAGTAAAAACGTTCAAATGGCTTAAGCGTCTCCTAGCAAAGTCGTTGCTTAGCAACGGCATCTTGGCGGAGTGATACAGTGTGAAAAAGCCGTGATGTTATGTTGAAATATAAGCACGGTTAGAACGCTTCCCAACCAATCAGCTTGCGTGGCCAAACTAACTGATAAATAAATAATGAATGAACTGTTCAAACATCACAGTAGTTAACTGACATCTAGAGATCTGTGAAAACTTTTTAAACACCTACAAAAATCAACAGTTTCACTCTCACATTACATACACGCACAACAATGACAGTATTGGTACTGTTACATCAGTTGCCACTGTCTGCTTTATGCTAGACTGTAAGCAGTTCGGTCACAAAGGAAAAAATATATGACATTACAGCTAAAGTCCTATAACTTTGTGCCCAATCTTACAATTAAGATCATTTGTATGCATGTATGTTTATCAGAAATTTAATTTTCAACCACAGAGAGGAAAAAAAAAGAATGCATACCACTGTTGCTTGTGACCTCTAAAGCCCGTGCAGCTAGTTCCTGAACCATCACCACTGCCTTGTTAAGGTAAGTGCAATGTTGTGACATCTCTTTGACTAGGATGGACTGTTCCTCTTCTAAACGCTTCACCAGCATCACCTGATCGAAGACTTTTCTTTTTGTTCTCAAGGCCCCTTTTTACGAAGGAAAGAGAAAGAACACTAAGTGGACTGACAAAAGCAAATAACTGGAAAGCATGAACAAATGAATGATGAGATGTTGCGGACCATCTCCATTTGATTCCCAAGGTAGGATAAAGGCCTCAGATAAGCTGCAAGCTGCCTCCACATCAATCTTGTCCTCATCAGCTACCATGGTGTTGTATTGTGCGAGAGTGTCTTCAGTCTGCCCTAAGCTCTCCCAGTCTCCTTCTTTTGGACTTCCTAATCCGACTGCTATCTGTAAAGTTTGAGAGGGGGCAGGCATGGTTTCGGCAAAACTTGAAATAATAAAATTAATTAACCTAAAAAAGGTTTGTCATTTTCCAGAGAACATAATCAAAAAGAAAACATGTGGTAGACAAATGAAGGAAGAAAGCCAAACACTTAGTTTAACATTGTACATGCAGGTTAGTACTGAATACAGTTTTTGCCACAATAATCCAATCCACCTTCTGCAGTAAAGAAGGAACAGCTTTTTGTAGCATGCATACCATTCTGTCGATAAAGGTCCTGCTTCTTGTGCAGAAGAACACAGATCACATCATTAATTTCACTCTGCAAGTCCTTGAGGCTCTTTGGTGCTGAAGTACAGCTTTAGACAGTAAAAAATTGGTTATACAAATGGTAAACCACAATGTGTAGAAAAAGATGCATCCTGCTTTTATACTAAGAATACAATGCACAGTTGGGAAAAAAGGGGAAAAAATATATATATAGATATTATTGTTATCATTATATATATATATATAAAAGTGTGTGTGTGTGCGCGTGGTGTGTGTAAAACATCTTTCACCTGTAGATGCCCACTGCCTGACATCGGACACCCACTGATTCGGAGTTTCCAGAGAGAGGTTAAGTTGTTCCCTGAGAGCTTTCAGGCTGGCCGCTTCCTCTGCTGCCCTTTGTACTGCCTTTTTAGGTGGGAAATTAACAAAACAAAGTCACCACAGTAATAAATTTTATTGGAATATAGAGAAAAATAATATATATATATATATACATACACACATACATACACATACATACACACACACATAAACGGCACAAATGACACACACACACAGTGTATGTACATCGATCAGGCATAACACGACCACCTCCTTATTTCTACGCTCATTGTCCATTTTATCAGCTCCACTTACTATATAGGTGCACTTTGTAGTTCTACAGTTACAGACTGTAGTCCATCTGTTTCTCTGCATGCTTTCTTAGCCCCCTTTTACCCTGTTCTTGAGTGGTCAGGACCCCCATGGACCCTCACAGAGCAGGTACAATTTGGGTGGTGGATCGTTTTCAGCACTGCAGTAACACTGACGTGGTGGTGGTGTGTTAGTGTGTGTTGCGCTGGTCTGAGTGGATCAGACACAGCAGTGCTGCTGGAGTCCTGACCACTCAAGAACAGGGTAAAAGGGGGCTAAGAAAGCATGCAGAGAAACAGATGGACTACAGTCTGTAACTGTAGAACTACAAAGTGCACCTATATAGTAAGTGGAGCTGACAAAATGGACAATGAGCGTAGAAACGAGGAGGCATAATGTTATGCCTGATCAGTGTATACTTACTTTGGAAAATCTCTGGGCTAGTGCCTTGTGGAGGTTCTCTTCCTTTCTCTTATTCCAAGCAATTGACTGCAGAGTTATCATATCAGCTCTAACTAGAGGGAAGGGAAACAGAAAGCGTATTAGAATTGGACAAAGTTTATTCATATTCATATAGGGGAGAGTAGGGGCACAACCTAATTTAGTGTACAATATTATATCCTCTTGTACTCCCATTCCAACATCTACAAATTCTGACAACAATTAGAGAGACATTTGTAATGCAAGTAACTAAAGTACCCAAGGGAAATAATGAGAAATAACAACTCCACATTTGCCATTAAGTATTTCACTTTTAGTGTATTAGCTAACAATACAAAGAACTACTAGATCATCAATTTATTAGCTTTTTAAGTGACTGTTACTCCACTTACAGTCTCCTCTTCAAGTATTGGAACAGTAAGGCCAACTGTTTTTGCTATACACTGCATACATTCAGATTTGAGATAAAAAGATCAAATGAGACAATTAATTGGAATTTCAGGTTTTATTCCCTGATCTCAATTATATATATTATATATTTATAATAGCTTTGAATGTCTGAATTTCCACTTTTCCTCCTGTTAAAATCCTTTGTTGTCTTGGCTATGTGTTTTGTGTCATTGTCTAGCTCCAACACGAATTTCCACCTGATCACCTGATTAAACTAGACGCTAAATTGTCAGGCACAAAGTTTCTGTAGACTTCAGAATCATCTAAACATAGACTTTAAACTATCTGAACATGCATTATACCTCCTGAAGAGGTGGCTGACATTATTTTCATTTGTAGCTGTGTAGATTGTTTATACAAATAATTTATTAATCTTGTTCAAATCATTAAAAAAATATTTTAAAATAAAAAGTGTGAGGTTGCGCACCGCTCTCCTCCTTGTTTCATTTGAATGCTCAGTCCCACCTGACTTGGTCATGTACTTGGTGGTCAATGCTCCACGTGACAGAAAACTGTTGACCTGTTCAACTTCTTCACCAATGGTGTTTCCTGCTCCCTCTTGGCTCCTACCTCCCCATCTTACCTGCAGCAAAGCACATATCACATTTCGTCAGGAGTGATAATGGGTTTCTCCTAACTTATTATTTTTCCTCATACACACACAACAATTCCACTACATGTAGGCTGTGGTATATTGCACTACCAAATACTGGAATTAGTCATTCTAACAGCAAAAACTAAATTGGGTTGGAGCAAACCGACAAATTGCTAAAAACAGTACAGTCATTTAAGCTATTCAAATATTACATTAAATATAACTGAATTAAATTGTGTCCTGACAAAGCTTTTGAAGAAAAAACATTGCAGCCAATAGTTCTCATGTCACTGTCATGCAAAACACTGTAGACAAACAGCAAGTACAGTTACTTCAAAGAAACTACCTCACATTTTCCATTGTGCGCTTTGGCATGCATGACAGAAAGAAATGGCTTCATCTCTGTCAGCCCTTTAAACTCAGGCAGATTCTCAGCCACCTTCTTCAAATATGGCCAATATCTAGAAGAAAAATAACCTCACAAAATTTATATACAGAAATGGACCTTAAATAGTTATAGAAGACTGCTGAGGAGTATAAGACATATACCCATGGATTTGAAGAAAGGCTTGAATATGTGTGCACTACATGAAGTGAAGACAAAGTACCTGCATGTGACATCCATACAAAAGAATGACACATTTGATATCTGTGCCACCTCGTTTTGTAGGTACATGGGGTATGTGAAGATTTCCCCACGGTAGTGGTTCAGTCCACGCAATAAACAGCCATGCCTGCATACAGCTATTTCCAGACCCTCTTCATCTAACTTAGCACTGGATTTTGAGGATGTCTCCCTGCCAGCTGTAAATGTTGATGTTCCACAGACTCCTTCACCAGGCCTCTGAAAATATAAGTAGGTAAAAGGATTTCTTTAGAAAAGTGGCACTAAAATAGAAAATGCATGTCAGTAAAGACAAAAGATAAAACTGTTAAAAAATGTGGTCACATATTGGACAGAAAAAGTACAAGAGATATATATATATATATAAAATACAATTACAGCATTTTTTTTAAATCAATAACCATGCTACCTCAACCAAATCAATGAAGAATATAAATTTACATATCACATATATTTAAAATAATCAATATAAAAGTAATTACACAGGAAAAATGATACAAAATAACTGCCTGTACTCACGCCTTTCAAGTGACTTCTGATGAGGTTAACAAAGCTTGACACATCATCATCCCTAGCGAGGAAGATACCCTCAAACATGGATGGTTCATCAGTGCTTTTAAACAATGTTTTATGTTCAAAATCAATCGGATCGATCACAAACTGACAAGGCAACAAGAAATGTGACATGCATTGCACATTATACTAATGTACTATTTCACTTACCGTTTGGACTTCTTGAAGCGGTAATGCTTTCTATTACCATCTACAGAGACAGCTAGCATGTGAGGGGTACAAGCTGGACACACAAAGTGCTCCACTTGACAAAGCTTCTGCTCCTCAAACATACAATACTGGAGTTCCAGAAAGCTTTTCTGAAATGTGTCCCCACAGATGGCACCTGCCTATTACAGTACAAAGAAATTCTTGTTTTAAACAAGTGGAATATTAAATGCTGATAACTGTGCAATTTTTCAAATAACTATCTGGATAATTCAACACTGAGATTTAAATTGAGTAATCTGAGCAATTTAAAGTGGTCTCATGTGAAATGCTGCACTGTAGAGATACTTACTAACTCAGATTTCTTTACAGTGGTGGTAATATGAACCAGGAACCAGGGCCATTTAATTTACTATGCAAAATGACCAGTGATCCGCACGTGTCTTCTGAATTTCTATGTGTTATGTACAACAGTACAACAATGGTTCTGCCCATGACTTGATCATGTACTTGGTGGTCAGCGTTGCACAAGAGTGCTCTTTTGGTGCTATCTAGTCTTACAACATGAACCTCTCAGCCCAGAGTATTTGTTCTTTGGCGAAAACCTCTTTGGACAAAACTGCTGTAAAACATTTTTCCAGATATCAGGCAGACTATTCATAACAATTTCATTTAATAACTTTCTGTAAAGTAGCTTTGGAGGAATTAAAAGTTTCAGACATCTGTTTCCTATCACAACCGCTGTGAAAAATTATGACATACTAAGTTTCACACCAAACCATTTTGAACAATTTTGTGCGCATCTTAACAAGTCAGTTATGCAGAAATTTTGAAAAACTAGTGTCCCCCTGCTGCTCCCATTCAGTTTACTTACCCTCCCTGATTGATGTGATCGATGCTCTAGCCTTCTCACAAAGGCTTGGCGAGATAGTGCTGGAGCCGTCACTTTCATTTCAAAGAATGTTGTGAAAACATCAAAGGTGTAGATTGTTTGGCAGCTGGCCAATAACGATATGCCAGCAAGTCTTTCACTTCTGGAGTCCACTTTTGTTGGCAGGATGGACAGCTAATAACTGTCAGAAACAGACGGTATCGTCCTAAGTTTAAAAACACAGAACAACTGCAGAGAACAATTTAAAACAATGCTGAATATTTTGGAGCGTTGGGATGGTGAAACAGTGCAAGGCTAAGATATTGAACTTCAGTGAAGTGAAACATTAATCACACTTTATTGTGATACTTTATTGTATCCTAGTGAAACATAAGATGAAAGTCCTTAAAACCCCATTAAAGGAGGGGGTGGTGCCAGGTACATACCATTGATAGTCACTAGCACAACCTGCTTCCCTGCTGAGATGCAGACATCTATGGAACATGTGCAAATGTTTTTTGGTGGCGCGATTAGAAGCAGACACACTGCATTAGGAAAAAAATACTGAGTATGATGAAATATGCGACATAAAAACAGCAGTCATTGTCTTTCTGTTGCAGTGGCTGGAACTTGCACAAGTTTTGTCCACTAATGTTCAGATTATTTTAATGTTTTCCTATTGGCCTTGAGGTTTAGCCTGTTTAAATACTTGGTTCTAGTACCACAACGGATATCGTGGTGCATTAAAAAGGGGCAAGAAATTATTTTACCTTTTTCACCAAGTTTGTTCTGGCCACTTGCAGTGCTGAACTCAACAGACGTCGTATGGGAGATTGCTTCAAAGAAGCCGTTGATTATGGTGCTCCTGTTGTGAAACACATTCCATCTGTGGGAGTCACTGTCACAATTTGAGCACAGATCACTCAAATGGAACGCATTCTAAACATCGGATCACAGCTTCACCAGTACCACACTTTTGGCAGGTGCGACGGATCACTTGTTCTCCTTCCAATTTCCACTTCAAGAGTAGAGGCAGAGCAGCTTTCATTTGTTCCTCATACGCGCACTGACGCTGGGCCCAAGACCGAAGTGGGGTCTCCACTGGAGGAGCAGGAACAGCATCCAATGTTTGTCTTAATTGTTTAAGACGTGCATCTGAAAATTAAGAAAAAAAATTATGCCCATTTAATTCAGAAGAATTGAAAAAAGCAGCCTGTATAATCAAAAGTGCACACATCAACACAAACTATGTAAAGTACTGACTTAACTCACAGTAAAAAGAAAGGTGATCAGTAGTTGTATGTTAAAAGTTATCTATAACTAGAGAAAGGATAAAAAATAGAAAACAACTGACAATGTTGCACATACACAGCAAGTGTTGGCAGTAACAACAGTGATCAGTGAATAGCAAGATGTGTGTTAAAATAAAAACAGAAAAGCAAAAAGACTGTTCAAAGTAATGAAGGTGCCTGAAAATGAACACAAAGACAGACAGATATAGATAAATTAATTGAGTCCTGTAGAAAGGGTAGTTGGAGATTATCCAACTATGGAAACATAAGCAGTGCTGTCTAAATTACAGGAAAACAGGCAATATTGTCATGACTTGCATGTGGACAAGTTCCATGTCTGAAAGATGTTCTAATGTTCTAAAGGTATTTTGGGATGTTGCCAAAAAACAAGGTGAAGTCTATGCCCATGAAGGAACCAAAGTTGTGATATTCTAAACAAACAAACAAACAAACAAAAAACTAAAAAAAAAAAAAATTAAAAAATAGCAGTTTGGCATCATGCACAGGTACAATAATTAAACCTAAGTATTTGCTTGAATCTTTTCAAGACATGACCAGACATGACCATGGGTGAGTTAGTGTGGAATGAACCAGAAATGGAATGACTTACCGAGACACAATATTTCTTCAGACTCATCATGCCGTGATTCAAGTGAGTCACCAGCTGGCTCATTTGATTGCTGTGTGCTTGCTGGTGAAGATTAATAATAATAATAATAATAATAATAAGACAACAATCAACTCTTTGTTACCTACCACTAGTAAAAATAACAGTGAAAATCATGTCATCAGTTGCCTGCTGATTTTCAAGTAACTAGGCCTATAGAATATTCAGCCATATCACTAAAACCACCTGCCTAATATTGTGTAGGTCCGCCTCATACTGCCAAAACAGCTCTGACCCTTCAAGGCGTGGACTACACAAGACATGCCCATCATTAACTTTTTCAGTTATTTGTGCTACAGTAGCTCTTCTGTTTGATTGGACCAGACAGGCTATCCTTCACTCCCACAAGTATGACTGAGCCATGGGCGCCCATGACCCTGTCTCTGGTCCACCTGTTGTTTTGCAGATGCTGTGGACCAGTCGTCTAGCCATCACAATTTGGCCCTTGTCAAAGTGGCTCAGATCCTTATGCCTGCTCATTTTTTTGGCTTCCAACTCAACAGCTTCACTTGCTGCCTAGTATATCCCCCCCTGACGTGCCACTGTAATGAGATAATTAATAATATTCACTTCACCTTACTTCATTGGTTTGAATGTTATGGCCAATCAGTGTATGTCTTGGTTACTATATCACAAATGCTTAAGTATGTCAGGACACATGACATTGATAACCATCAATCACTGCAGACTCACAGAATGAATGAGTCCAACTGTCCTGACGAGAGACAGAGCGAGACTTGTTGAAATGTTGGGGAATAAGGCTCCCATTCAGGTCTCTTTCCCTCCACCACACACTGATGCCAGATTTTCTCTTTTTTTTTTGTTCAGTGGCTAAAAAAAAAAATTGTACAATATTTTGTCAAAACAATGCCTAAGCTATGTGGAAATCCACCAACAACAGGTAATGTAAAACTTGGGGAAGACCCGTTAGTAAAACCTTCTACATGTGGGAAATTAAGTTGGTGACCATTAACTTACCAGTTGGCTTGCAAGATCGTTGGCCAGCAATCTTCCCTCTTCAAGCCAGTCTTTTAGCTTTCTGGCAGTCACTTGAAGACATTGCTACTAAATTCAAAGATAATTAATTTGTTAAACACAAAATGCCATTCATAATGTGATATTTTATTAAAACAAAGAAAAATACTTGACTTGAGCATTTTACTTGATGTTTTAAATGGTGTTTGAAGAAAACAGGCCAAGTTAAAATATATTATAGCTGTGCTCGTTTTCTAGCTTGACTGTTGTTTTAGCTGAAGTGAGTTAACTAGCCATGTTTAATTTATGGGTTGCCTTAAATGGTTCATGTTAAGCTGTATGACTACGCATTTCAGTGTAGGACTGAAAAGCTTGATATAAGCATCTTAACTCGGTCTTCACCGAGTTATAAAACAATACAACACACAATGCAGCCTATGCGTTCATGTTTTCCTGCTTTAGCGCTGTTTACATGAGTTATGTTTAAATAAGCGTCTTCAGCGGTTCATGTTAAACTGTATGAGTAACTGGGGAACAGAGAAGCTAAGCTAGCTGGACTTGACGGCATATTAATGTCGTGGATTCCTCAAATGGCGCCGAAGTCCGCGGTGTTTGGAGGACTTAACTCCACATAATACATTACAGCAACGGAACACCTACATGATTTTCTAGACTGACTGCCTGAATATTGTGCAACCAAGTACGCTAAAAGTAGAGAAGCTAATTAGTTAGTTAGTTAGTTAGTTAGCTAGGTTTAACTTGTAAAGCTAATCATCTCGCTAACTGGGCGGAAACTTTATTCTGAGTGAATTTAATAAATAGCTGATATTTTAGTTATAAACTTGATAAACCATACAATTAAATCTACAACGCGTAATCAGTGAACACCGCATAAGAACATACAAGACAGCATTCAAAGGAAAAGCGACTCACCGCTTCTCAGAGCCGACTCCCGTTACCTGGCTGGTACTAGTGATGAAGAGTCGATTCTGAAAGAACCGATTCTTCAACACTTTTGAGAGTCGGAGTCGACTCTCGGCCAATTGCTCTAAGGGTCGAAGTTGTTCGAGTCGACTCTTCGACTCTGTGTTTTTTCATTGTAATTGGCTCGAGGGACACAATACAGAAAACGATTACAAACGGAGCGAAAACGAAAAACAAACAATGTTTATTTTTTCACAGAACGCTGTGAAAAAGAGGATAAAGCTGAGATTTCTCCCTTATTTGCCAGCTTCTCATTCAAATTTCCGCTCCACCTTAAACAGCGCTGTAGTTACATTTCAGCGCCGGCGCACCTTTAAGGCAACTGCTGAATCATTTAAGGTGGACCGGAAAAGTCCGATAAGAAACTGGCGAATCCGAAGCTAGGTTAACTTCAGCCTCTTAAAAAGAGGAACAAGATGACGATCCAGCCAGTTCCTTTTAATGTAATTCTGATGACAGTAATAATTTTGTCAGTACTCCACTCCGAGTTTTATCATTGCACTATAATCGGCAGCTACTCAAAACTGGGTCAGCACGTTTAGGATGGTTTAATCGCTGGTCTGTACCTTTATCACCGGCTCTGGCGCTGCTTTGGTTAAAATAAAGTGGAGCCGCCGGACTCGAGAGTCGGAGTCCGGTCCAGAAAACCCGGAGTCGTGCATCACTGGCTGGTACCGGCTGTCAGAGCTGTTATAGAGCGCTGTTGTAATTTTCTTGGTGACCACAAGAGGTCGCTTCACCATTGAACGTAACAATGAGGCGTCTTACCAGACCAAAACAATCGACGTATGTGGTCGTTTTTACTTGGAGGCCAGTCTGGAATTTTAGGGCACGAATTTCTGTTTATCTGCTGAGTTTAAAGGTGAGAAAATTGAAAACTGTACCTACATTGGCATTGTTGAATAAGAAAGGTTTGGTACATGAATGTGACACATCACAAAGCTCAAACTGTGTTGTCTCTTCCTTCAAATGCAAATCCCGCATTTGTAAAAATGGGCGACAAAACAGGACAAATTCTGTTTCTATTATACAATTTTAATCTATGGAACTTTTCCTTTTTCTCTGGTTTCACAGTAAAAAGATTCTTAGCTAAACCTAAAAATTACTTAATATGGTAACAAGAAAGTAACAACTGTTTTATTAAACAAAATTACTTTGAATGGATGTTTTTTTAAATCAAAGTAAATTGTAAAGTTGAGTACAGCTAATTCAGTTGTTACCACAAAGTAATTTTTTTAGGTAGAACTGAAGAAACTTTTTACAGTGTAGCTAAAGCAGTAATGTAATGCAGCATCATGTATAAATCTGCGTTGTATAGTTTATTTTCATTTTGGACTAATGATAGATGATCGCAGATGCAATGTTAACAAAAATGCATTTCCTCCAGGTAATGAAAAAATACACGAGCAATTTTTATTAAAAGAAAAATTACATTAATTTCTCTTCTCCTAGCAAGATACTCTACTCTTGCAACAGAGTCAGAATCAACAGACTGCCTATGGTGAGAGATATTTACAATGGCATCTGGTAAAATAAATTAAAAGTTATATATATCAATGAGTCATCATTTGAATATAAAGCACAAAAACTGCCAATCTATGATATATAATCTATGATATATCTATTATAGAAAACACTCTGCATCAGCCGCACCACATGATATTTGGTCGCACAGCATGATGTTTTCAAGTTCAGTCAAAAATTACCAGCACAGAATTGGCTTACAAAAGTGGTAACGACATGCCGGCCGTTAAAAAGGTTATTTTTCCCCAGATTTCAGAGAGACTTACAAATCTGCTTGCTGCTTCAGTGGGTCCTTGGCAAACTGCTATATGATGAAATCTCCTGTTTTTGAGATGGATTTTACATAAATGTCCCAAAGTGGTCGTTTCTTGATGGTTACACCACACGATATTTAATAAAATAGACATCATCGGACAAAGTTTGTTTGTATTTTATGATGGAAATAAAATAGAAATACTTTGCAGGTTTGAACAGGACGACAAAACACTTCGGAAATCATGGCAAATGGGATATAAAATAAAAATGAACAGATTTAGAGTCATTTCAAAGAAGTTTTCAAAACAGCTGTCATGGCCGGACGGTCGACCCACATGATAGTTTGACCCTTTCAGTAACAGGAAAATTACAATGAACTAATCTTTTGAAAGTTAAAGTGAGTAGATATGTGGGAGAGGTACCACACATATATAGTACCTTTATATTTAAACCTTTTTAAACTGAAAAAATGCTGTCGGACAGAACATTTAGACGTCACACCATTGACCCAAGAGTTTCTGTGAAAACACACGAACTGCTGGACAATAAGAGTCACGCTGAATGTATATGAACGTTGTCATGGTGATTATGAGGTAATTTAACATGGAAAGTTTAAAAATAAAACCACGACGATAAAACATAAAGTCGGGTTCATTCGCAGAAAAACAAACACAACTGCTGAAACTCAGGAAAGCTGAAGACGATCAGAGCCGTTAGGAGTAAACCTGATGGTTTTGCTTCCTAACGGGAATTGGCTTGATGGTTGCCGTTAGAGACCATTAGGAAACGAACAACTGTAACTTATATGGAATCAGTCCCAGAACAGCTGATTAAATGATTTGAATCCCTTACACTGTGATATTAATCCAGAACACCATTAGCGACTGAAAACCATCAGGAACCGACACTTTTAATGGGTTCTGTGACTTTTTTCAGCAGGGAGGTATTAAAAGTCTCTCTAGCCGAGTTCTGGACGGGAAATGGATTAAGTGATGATGTTGCTAAGCAGAAGCGGCCAAACGGTACCGTGTAATCCAGATGTTGTGAGAAGGGGAAATTCTGCAGACCGGAAACCTAAAATGATCATAAGCTCAAAACACTGAAGGCAAACAGTTCCATTAGGAACCAAGAGGCTATGAAATCACTTTGAGAACAAGCGAAGTTTAGGTGGAATCAGTGTTTGAATAAACTCAGTAAAAGATGCCAGTCAGAACTGCACGTGCGCACATATTTCTGTACTGTGTTCATGTATTAAAGTCAGGAGGAACATGTTCATCAGTTCACTGATGCTTTTCTGTGTGATGGTCAGTCAGTGTTTGCATGAACTCCGTCCTGCTTAAACAACAGCTATAATAATGTATTGATCTGAAATAAGAAATTAGCTGATATTTAAGGCAACTTCAAACTGTCTCCCCTCTTCCGCGCGCCTGAACAGCATGGAACGCCTTTTAGCGCTTTCCTTCAAACCACTGGCTGATGCATAAAATGAGAGACAGGTAATTCACACTTGTGATTGGCCGATGCAAGTTTTGATTGACAGTCCATCTCTGTGATATGATTGGCCGATGCAAGAAATGATTGACAGTGTCTCCGCCCCTTCGTTACGCCCACTGGTTCTCCGGGCTGCAGATACATTTACCTGGAGCCATTTCGGGTGAACAGGAAGTTGTGTAATGGGCGGCTGTTTCCGGTTTTCTCTTAGTTTCGTTTCAGTGTGAGTGCAGACTCCGGGTCCCCGGATGTAGTCTGCAGTCTGTGTGTCCAGTCTTCCTCAGAGCTCCGTCTTCATGGAGCTCCCCGTTTGTTTCTACATGGATTTAGTAATGAAGCGGTTCTAGCGCGCGACTGATTCTCCTGAGAGAAACTACGAGAACGAGTCCATCAGAAGAGAAGCGCCCTCTACAGGTTTAACCCTGCAGTCTACAGACCCGGAGGAGGCGGACAGTAAGTAGCCTTCAGTAGCCTCGTTTACATGCAGCCTTATAATCCGTTAATAATCCTAATTGTTCAATCGGAGTAGAATTCGTCCATCTACACCTCAGTCAGAACAGTCTAGTCCGATTGAGGCCATTTAGAACACAATTTCTATCCGATTGAATACTGAAACGCCTGTGTCTGATCACACTCACAGTCGGAAGTCTGTTCTGTATGTGCGTCACATCATAGAGAGAGTTTATAACGGTCAGCATGGCGGAGCAGAAACTGGTCAGAGGAGACGAAGTTTATGCTCTGATCTTTAAAAGGCGGCGGTGGGACGGACGTCCAGCTTATGTGTCTCAGATCACGACGTCTCCTCTCGCCTTCTTTAATAAGGACATGTGTCAG